ATCTCACTTTCGCAAGGACTGCTGGGTAATTCATTTTCATTTTACTTGTCTACCCCTTTGCATTAGATAACAATCTTAATTAAGTCCACAATTGAACAAGTAAACGTTTATGTGAATGTTCTTGGTAAATAGAGAGTAAATTAATTCTCCGAATATTCGTGTATAAGATTTGTTTTAATGCACATGGGAGAAATGTCTACAATGAAGAATTAACTTAGTTTGTTCGATTACAGAATTAGGAAGCTTCTTATTTGTGTTTTAAACTATGACTTAGGACATAACTGACATAATTATTTATTTTAATTAATAATATTTAATTTTCATTTAACTTATTAAAAAGTAATAATTAATTTACTCTATTATTATTTTAATTGGTTTTATTTTAATTATTAGCCCAAAGAGGCAATTTGCCCAGAAGGGCCATTAATTTCGTTTTGGCATTCTACGACGGTTCACTATAAATTTCGATTCACTTTTCAAATTGTTGCCACCAAATATTAGAGCTTTACATTATTTTGAAAGAAATTAAATAATGAAGAATCTGCAGGAATGCATGTATGTTTCTAGTAGTGCGGAAAAACAACGGTACCTTGAGTAATTCTGAATAACGTAGTCCTCCATTCGAATATGAGCATCTGGAAGCCCAAATTTGGAATTTATTTTATTATCTATTTCAGCGGTTCTTATAACCTTTTGACTAACGCGCACCACCTAAACAAAAATTGAAAATCTTTAGTACCACCACTACAAAGTACTGCCACCACCACCACTCTTGAACAAAGCTCAGATCGCACAAATTTACGAGTGTTATCGAAAACATTCAATCAGAATGTTGGGGTTTTAATTTTGAATTTAGTAGTTAAAAGTACTTTGCTTCTTTGCGTACCACCTATTTTTCTCTTGCGTTTAGTACCACCGATTGAGAACCCCTGATCTATTTCATAATTCGTCAAGCATTAACGAATTTTCGATTAATAAACTCAACGATTTCAAAGCGAGCAATGGCAACACTGTACGGGGGGGGGGAATTGTCTCCAGCGCGTGTGACTGTGTAGACTGTGTATCGGAAATTCTATAGATATGCTCTTTTTAAATTATTTTGCGATATTGCTGTTGAATTGAATTTATGGTTTAAGGGCGAAGAACATGTTATTGAATAAGTAAAGATAATCCAAAAAATGTTTAAAAATGCCCCTTTGGGCGTAATAGAAAATCTGAAAGCTTTCAGATTTTTATTTTTAATTATGTAATATATTATTATTTTAGTTAATTATTTAATTTAGTTTATTAATTCAGAGTTATTTCAAGTCGTATTTTCATTCTTAAATATGGAACCCAAGCTTTTTTTTTTTTCAAGTTCTTTCATTGCATAAAAGTGGACAACAAACTTTAACATTTTATGCTGTTCATTATGTGTTTTATCAGTTTCAAATTAATATAAATCAGTCTTGGTTTGTATAAAATATGCGTATGGTCGTTCTGGGCTTTACAATGATTTCCTACGATTGGCCTTTTTTATTTATAATCAGAAATAATACATGTCGCAATTAATTATTTCTATATTCTGCTATAGAATAATGCTCATTTAATTTTTTTTTTTTTTTTTTTTTGCATGCGTGTGTGTATACACCTATATTTAAAACGCTAGCCAAAACTTTATATCGCTCACGGGAAATTTTAGAAATTTAGCTGAGAGAAAATGTTGGAATACTTTCTACAGAATAAATGCATAAAGTGACACATCCGGAGCTCTCGTTATAGAGCAAATTAAATTCAAAGATCTGTGGAGCTTTCAACAAATTATGGCTTTTCGTAGAAAGGGCGTTTGAGAAAAACTGTTCGACATAATTACATTTATTTGAAAGTCTTATCCAGTACAGATCAAAAAGAACAGCTTAATATTTCAGCTTTACTGTTTTTCTGTTAACATAATTAGGGAACATTTTCTTTAAGTAAAATAATTACTTTTCTACGTATTGTTTCATATCTGAGTGACTGAACTTTGAGAAGCTAGCGAAATAATAATAATATGGTAAATATAAAACTTTTACTGTCGTAATAATAATACTAATCCTTTAAAAAACGCGCATAAAACACATTGTACTCATGTTTCTAAGAAAGCATTGATGCAAAATGAAAATGACGATATTCAATTTAATAATTTACTGTCACGCACAGTAAACAGAAAGAAATTAAAATAAATCAAATCAGATAAGTTTTTAGGTATCATGGTAAAAAAAAAAAATTGCACAAATGCCTAAGATTTCAGATGGTCAGAGAGTGGAAAATTAAGTAATCTAGCAGATTAAAAAATTAAAAATGTATTGCACTTGCAAGATAGTAAAACATAGCTTATTAAGCAAACCATGGTGCAAGCAAAATAGCGTTATTTAAAGCTGATGCTTATTTAGCAGCAGCTCTTTCAGCCGTTCAAGGAAACACAGTCGTGTTCTTGAACTGAACTCAGGAGCGGAGCGGGTTATCGGGAATTCAAAAAATTGCCCGATACGGTGGTACCTGTGACACTGCTTCCTTACCTGATGCCCGTGGTTTAAAAAAAGGTGAAGCATCAACCATAATTATAGAAATCATGGGGCAACCACTGAACGCGCTTTTGCTGAAAGTAATCTCGTCAACTAATGCTGTTTTTCTTAACTCATATTTTATTCGTATCACTTTTGCGTTCAAATTGTTTTTTTAATTATTTCCGTCAAAGGGCATGTATTATTTTAAAAGTATGTATGCATATTTTAAAGCCATGTGTTATTTTTAAAGAAATTAAATAATGAATCTATATGTGTTTTTATATATGTGTGTTTGTCGGACATATGCCTGTTTAACTATGTTATACGCTAGGCGTCCCCGTCCTCCGTCACCTGTCACCTGTATGTGTATTTTTCGCATTGTGGATAAACAATAGCACCTAGTGTCACGGAATGTTTAATATACGTAGTCTTCCATCCGAAATGGGCGCCTCGAAGCCCGAATTTTGAATTTTAAATTGTATTTTATTTATTTAATATTTTGAACAAACTTAACGCATTTCTGCTTAGCAAATTCAGTGATTTAAAAGCGAGAAATGGAAAAACTGTTCGAAATAAAACATTTGTATCTCGAGCGCGCCATTTTGCAAAATTTGGGAACATTTAAGATACTGACTTACAGTTTCAATTTACACATTCGGCTTTTTGAAAGGAATGTGTTGCCGTTGCCTCAAAGAATACTTATTAAGTCCAGCATGTTGCCATTCGGTAAAGCGTAAGTTGTTCAACTTTTAAATTTAGTTTTTCTGTTACAGTGCATTATATCAAGTGATTGAAAAGCAATAAAGGCATTTTCAAAAAATATTTTTTTATCTGATTTATTAAAATAAAATTGAGTTTAAAACATGAGATATCAAATTAGAAATATTAAGTATTTTTATGAAATGAGATTAGCTGCTTTCGTTAAAATCAGAATCATTATATACTTTTTCCTTTTTTATGGTAACCCGTCTAGGCGGCTGTCCTCTCGAGCGGCTAGTTTCCAAAGAAATGATGAATGGAATATTCAAAAGCATGTATCGCAACCCCTAGCACTTTATCGGGAATTCTAAAGATGTGCTACCTTTAAATATTTTGTGATTTTGCTCTTGAATTTTATGTGGCGTTAATGCTAAGAAAGCGATGTTTAATAATGAAGCCCAAAAGACAAAACAAGGGTGTTAGCAGGAGTGAGTCCAAGAGCAGACTGGAAATTTGCAATGCTCAAGACTCATCTCTAATATGAGTATCCTATTATATATTTTGTGGCTACCTTCATCTAACCTTTAAGAAGACAATTGAAGAATTTCATTTTATTATTACTTATCAACAACTTGGACATAAATATTGCTCAGATGAAATACTTTTTAAAACTAATTTGAAATATGAGAGAGAATGAGCTAAAAACTGTGACAAACGTCTGAAAATAAAACAAGAAGATTTGATTGGTAATTTATTCTTTTGTCATAACAAAAAGGTATTTTGAATTTTAAATGTTTAATACGTATATGCGCATATATTTCCTTTTAAAAGATGACGAATTTCTTTTCGAAATATTTCTCTTGTTCATAATGATGTTTGACAGAAAGCATCATTACTCGATATAACATACCTTCTTAAGCGTGAAATATAATTTACGAGGGATTATTTTCTATTTGACGTTTATGAATGTTTTCATTTTATGTTTTATAAAAGGTTAAAAAAAGTAGTTAAAAATTTAGTATTAAACGATGAAAGGAATTTGTGTACTTTGATCAAAAAAATAATCATTCAGTAACCTCAGTGTTTTACGAGTTCTGCTGCTTGCAACCATAATTTATCATTGTATTAAGAGCGAATTTTATAACCATTGAAGGAACTTATTCAGCATGAAATGAAGTTTTATATTTAATAGAATATCGAGATATTTTTGAATTCCTTCCTTATAGATTGTGATTTATATAATTTTTTACTATAATTATTTTATGCATGAGGTGTCTTGTAGTCCAGTATAAAAATCAAATGTATTCAGTATTGGAGTGAATCTTGGAGAAATGTATACGGGTCAGCGGGGAAGTTATCTCCCGTGTAAAAACAGAACAGGTGTGTTTTGTAACCTGGTATGTCCGCTAACGATGGAACGGATAAGACTGTAAATCACAACAGTTTAACCTAGTTTCTAATCCTACTGGCTATATAAGAATTTTGGTCATTTCCCTCCCGTGTAACGTAATTGAGAGCCAGTTTCCTGCAGAAAGTCCTCGAAAGCATGCCTTTTACTTAGGCAGATAGTCTTAGTGTGCTTTGCCATATTCTAACAAATTCAAATCTTTTAACGCTGTGAAACATTTTTAAATAAATATTGAACGATAGAAAAATGGCATATAATTCTTTGCGTATTATTAATCAAATTTTTAAATATATTCATTTAATACTTTACTTCTTTTCAATATCTAAATTTCTTGATCATTCCTATGAATTTCCGAACACTAACTTAAAATGAAACCCATTCCTTTTCTGTCCTCAGATTTAGAGCTTGAACGTCGTCAACTGCATGAAGTCGTTCTTCCTCAACTCCAACGTGACTGGTCATCTTTGGGACTAGATATTCAGTTGTTGGACATACAGAATGGAGGGGACGAAGATGCGATTATTGCTCCTCAGGCCATTGCAAGACATTTGGAGGACATAGAAGAATGTCATAAAACATCCTTGGGCTGTTTCTTCTTGGTAATATAAAACTTGCAATAAATAAAATGTTTTACAAACAAATATAGTCTAACAGTAATTTTTTTAAACCGCCTTGAAAATGCAGCGGTCAAAATTACCGAATAGAGATAAATTCGTATCTTATTTTTTAATTACTCATTTTATATTTTATTTAGAGATTTCATAAACGCTGTTTGCGGCTAATGGTTTAATAATTTCACCTTAATAAATAAATCATCTCTTATTGTTATTTAATGTTTATTGTGTGATAACTTAGTAGCCATTTGCTAGCATGCTGCTTCTTATTAAAATTTCCAAAATAATTTTTTGGTATCTTGACCAAACCTTCCGAAATGGTCCTAATTTATACAGCTTTGTTTTTCTCAAATCTTAACTGTTTTGCACAGGAAGCTGAAAAGCAGCTAAATTTGTATTCTGTAAAAGTAGGTTAATAGATTTAATGAAAGTTAAAATTATTTTGTATTTAAATTTTAGTAAAAATTATCTATAGTTTAATAAAACCAAATCTGAATCAGTAGCAAGTCAAAACTACACTGGAAATAAAATTAAAATAAAACCCAGAATTTATGTTAAAATAAGCGTAAAAGATCTAAGCATGAACTATTAGTATTTAATTTTATTATGTTAAAATGTAAGGTTTTCCTTATTTTGCATAACAAATTTATTTTAAGTTTTCCTGTTCTCAACTTCTCAACTTCCCCTCGCATTCTTTCGCCTGTATGTAATTTAAAGTTAAGTGAAGTGCTATTTAAACGTATGATTATCTCAGTTTATTCAGAGTGTGTTCGCTAGCCAAGCGCACGTTTCGTTGTTATTTCGCGGTCACGCTAGTAAGCCTCTTGGCGTTATTTACGCCGGTTAGATTTCTGTGAGTCCACCCCTTAGGCGTAATTTTGAATTGCGTTCTTGCACTCGTTTATTTTTCAGAATATGATTTGTAATATAGTTTACGTTTAGTTACCGCCGCAAGTGAACGGTGTTTTGTAACGCACGAAGTCTGTGCTTTTCTGTTAAATTAGTTTGATTTAATAATTCACCCTTCTTCTGTGCTGGTATTTAATTCACGCCTGTGCGAGAATTCGCCAGGTTCATTATAGTATCTAAGTTAGTGTATGTGGAAAAGTAGAGATAGGTCTTACCAAAAAACTAACAATTTTCCTATGTACTAATCTATAAGGCTATCTGAGTTTCAGTAAGTACAAGAAAGGAACTTTTTATTAATAATTGCTTATCATATTTTTTATTACATTACTGCTTTGATTAGTGTAAAAGGTCTCATCCTGTAGAGTTTCTCCAAAAAGAAACAATTTCTTTCCAGATTAGTAACCTGAAACTGTAGTAAAAGTCTCACAATAGCGCGTATATTAAAATGATACACCGAAATTAAAATATTTCCAAATATAGACATTAATCGTTATTTCCACTTGAATCAAAGTAATTAGGCGTAAGGACACTCTGACAGACTCTGGTGAGAAGAGGAAGAAATGAGTAATATACGTTGAGTATAACTGCATTAGTTTATATATAATTTCTCTAATCATTTGTCTAATCATTGTCATATTTCTTCTATTATTCGTAATTGCAAAATTTTATTGTTTGTTCTTATATTTTAAGAAAATAAAGTAATGTGCGCTTAAAATTTAGAGAAGAGATAACATTACTATTAGACGTTAATACAGTAGAGATTATGATAATTTTCTGAACGCAAAATAGTGAGAAACAATTGTGCGCTGCATGTGATACGAACCATGGAACCATACACCACGAAAGTTGACTAGGCATACTTACTACCCAAGAGCACGCACGAGAGAATCTTGTAATTCTTTTCATTTGTCTGTAGTTTAAAGTAATGATGTGCTATTTGCTCGCAAATTGATTCAATAAATACATTCACTTTACTGAGCGAGAGAACGTTGATTCGTCATAAAAGAGCGGTAGTTCTTGTAACGTTTACCTATCGAGAACTTTATTGTAAGTTTGCCAGGTAAGTTTTAGGAGAGAAAAGAATATTTGTTCTTTGTTAAAAATGAGTTTAATTTTTATCATTTTTCAAATTTTCGAATTTTTTTTCTATAGAACTTTATTGTTAGATCTGTATAGAAAAGAGGCTTTAAGTAATCTGAAAATTACAGCTGAAAAGTACCAGTCTAAGGATTAAGCTGTTGGATTGAGTTAATTTTTCCTATAACACTGATTGTTCGATTCTTTCCGCTCTTCGTTTCATTTTCGCATACAGTTCTTGATTCACTCTCTGTTCAATATCTTAGTCATCAAAGTTATTGTTAGGAAGCGGGAAGTCAGAAAGAAGAACCGAATCATGAGTAAAAAGTTCTGATCTAATCTGCAGAAGCGGTTTTGCGCATTTCTACTATGATATAGGGGAAATGTGTTTCAATTTCGGTATAATGTGACGTAATAAATCAAGAAGAAATTTTAAAATATATTCTCTCTATTCTTTTCTTTCCTGTTACAAAACATTCTAAATATATAGCTGTAGGTAACAAAAAATTGCCATGTTGGCCCAATGTAAGAGAGATGTGATTTTCTTTAAGATACACTTCTGCATGCGTAACCTGACGTTAAAAAATTATTATTAAAATATCAATATTTATCTCAGAATGTTAATGATAAAAGGATGCATATTTACGCAAATATATCTCAAGGTGTAGTAATTATATTACATAATTATCTTCCTTTGGAATATTCAAAATATAAGATGTCTCAAAATTAACGCAGGATTTTAATTGCTTAGCACTTTTTTCCGTTGGGATTTTACGATGGGTTGAAGCACATGTTGTAGTATTCACATTTCGTTCATTATTTAGTCAGTTGTGGTGGAGAAATATACACAGGAGCATATACTTATCGTAAAAAACATTTTTAAAAATATAAAGTTACGTACTTTATATTTTGCACTGTGTGTAAATTACGTGCTGTGCGGTACGGAACTGTAAAAGGAACGGCACGAAATTTGACCAAGTAGGTTTGATGATGGACGTTCTCGTACCCGGTGCTGGGCCGAAAATATTGTCACTATGTGCTTTAGTGCCGCTGAGTGTTCGAGACCGTCAATTTGCCGCAGGTGTGCTGAGTTAGAAATTTCAGATCGCAAAGTATTATTGCGAAAGATGCGTCCGTACAAAATTCAGATGATTCAATAGCTTAAGCCCAAAGATCATGTAAAGCGACGGTTATTCATCAATTCTATGTTAAGCGTGAAAAACATTTGCTGAATATAATTTTACATATTTAATCGGAATGTTTAATATTTCAAAGTACATTGCAATTTTGCCAGTTCTTGCATAAACAGAAATTCATTTTGCAAAATTAAATACTTGATTTTGCAGCATCCTATATTAAGTTTTCATATATGCAAAGCCGCATTTTTTTCAGGCTGTTCTTCTCCCTTTGTAAAATACTTAAAAAACCTGATCTGCTATCTTATATAGGAAACTGCCTGATATATACATAAAAAATATTTGACTTATGTGCCGTGCAGCTGAGTTTTGTTGGACTTTTTAATTGTTTCATTTATTTCTAGTGTCTGATCGGCAACAAATATAGACCATATCCTCTTCCCGCTTCCATCGATGCCAAAGATTACAACCACATCCACAACGCGGCAATCGAAGCGGGGCTTGATGCTTCCCTGCTCGACAATCACTATCTTCTCGACACAAATCTTTTACCTCCTCGCTATGTACTTCAGACTCAACCACAGTCCAGTGGGTAAGTTGTATTAGATGCTTTAAATACGCTTTTAAGTTTTCAATGCATTAGAATTAGATTTACAACAAATTAATTCACCACAAATTACAAATTAAGGAATTTCCATTTTTATATTTCAGTGGTATTAAACGGTATAGAAATATTTCTTTTTTTTTAATGGACTTCTAATACTTTAAATTACACAAAAATAATTCACTAATTGCGATAACTAAATAGAATCTTTCTTTCTGAAATTTATGAAATTTCTAAGATTTCGAACTTATGAAATTCGCGTTATTTTATTGCCTCCCAATAAAAAATGAGAATATTAACTTAAGAAGCATAAATTTTTAACTTTATTTAAGTTTAAAAAGTTCAAAAATAATAATCGTATATGTAAAATATTCATGCTTATTTATTAAACGCATAATTATTAAAGACACAGTGAAACAAATAAGTATCTCATGATTATGTGCACTGAGGGAATGACTTAAAGCAAGAGCCGCCTATGAAACCTTCTAGAGCTACTTCCACCTTAATAAAAAGAATTTTCCTACGATTTAAAAAAAATTATTGATTGGATCCTGTGAGATGAATTCTGGCATTTCGGAGGTGGAGTGCAAGTTTGAATTTTCAGATGTAGTTATTTGTGAACGTATAGTGACCGAAAAAAGTTCAAGTTGTTTTTAGTGGTATTTTGAAATTACGACAATGGTGTGGCTGATCAAAAACTCTTAATAGACCTTACCAAGGATCAATTTACTTAAATAATTGCACGCGGCAGATACACAGTATTGCCTTGAGTGACATCGGAACTCGTTATCGAAGTCTCGAACCCATCAGCATAAGGAATGTGGACAATTTTCTTCGTGATAGGGGCGTTAATAGCCAACGCTCAAATAGAATACTTCTGATGAATATATGAAACAAATATGTTCAGCTAACGTGTTTTCGACAATGAGCAAACTGAGCACATGATGACTGGAAACGACAAACTCGCATTTCTAGCTATTTCGGGTAGGTGGAAGGATCTGTGTGAGAAGAAACCTTCGTCAGTATTTAAGTCATGGATTCCACAATTAACTATGAAACCACTATACAGACTACAATGATTTCGAAATGATGTAAGGGTTTTTTTAGCTAACAATTAATGGCATCCTGGTATGTTAATACTATTGTTAACAGATGAAACTATATGCCCTCTTGTACGAAGTAAAGGAAGTATTGTAACTGCTAAAAAATTCGTGTATCTTATTTCAATTAAAACATCCATTTTGACTGCTTTTTGATTATCTTTAAACGATGGTTTTGAGTAACATCTGTACATACGGACAGAATTAAGGACTCCTCTTTCCCATAACTAATTGTGAAATAGATTTAAAATGTATTCAAGAGAGATTTTTTTTTTTTTTTTCCCTTGACGTTTGTAGTATCTCGTAAAACTCAAAACCGAATAGCCTCAGAACATTGAAATTTTGTATATGGGACTGCTATAACATGCGCACCGCCCTTTTTCGTTGCAGTCAGATCCACCAAAAGTATATATATATATATAAACCCACTCTATTACCCAGCTCGGTGAGTTAAGTTTTTCTATTCTTGTTTCTTCGTAGATGGTGCATTTTTTATTTTAAAAGCAACTGAATTATATTGTTCTTATGTTCCGGTTTAGATTTTTATGTCTTTAGTTAATCCGTATGCAATAGTTGTAGAATTATCAACAATTTTAAAGTTGTTTAAGCTCCACTAAGCTTAATGACGCCTCCATTTGTTTACATTTGAAACTTTGTACCAGAGTGAATCAGCCCCAACTTCAATGTATTTTTGCCGTGTGGTGCCCAAAGTTTTGCGCATCGAAGAATCTGTCTTCCTGCCTAATTTTAATTAATTTAAACTTTAATTTTAAGTGCAAAAATTGTTTTTAACTCTATTTGGTGTTTTAGGTCTTTCTGTATTTAGAAATTCTTAATGAAGATGTTTTGAGTTTTTATATATTTTTCCCTTGCCGCGAAGTGAGAACTGAATTGATTGAATGAGAAATATATCTCTAATGAAAATTGGGGAAATACGTTTAAATGAAATCCAGAAAAAATGTACATAATTTAATAGGCCGTACAAAGAAGTGATATTGAGTCCCCATAAGATTTTTTCTGATTATTTTTCTATATAATGGTACACGTTAGTACGGATCTACTGATTTTAATACTTGTTAGTGCATCCACATTTACAGAATTTAAATCTTTACATCAGTTTTCATAAGAAGTTTTTCAGCTGTCTAATCATCTAAGTGGAATAACTGTAACATTAATGATATTTTGCAATCATTTGCTTTCGTATTGTATAAATATTTTAGTAAAGAACTGAACAGGATTAAAAAAGTTGCTCATTGCATCATTTATAGCTTCACAGAGTTATGTTTTACAAATGATGTAGATATACACGCAAGTTAGTACACTTCCGACGGTATTTTTGAAAAAGGACGGTAGAACCATTAAATTTTGAATAATGTTGCCGTCCACCTCAACATGTGTACCTGAAAGCCCGAATTTCGAAATTTATGTTTCATATTATAAAAACTTCTAATGAAATTTTGATTAACAAACTCAACGATTTGAAAGAGAACCGTAGCAACACTGTACGGAATAAAATATTTTTATCTTCAGCGCGCGAGACTGTCTGTCGGAAATTCTGAAAATGTGCTCTTTTTAAGTATATTATGATTTTGCTGTTGAACTGAAGTTTGTCATATAAGTGCGAAAATCGTGTCACATAAGTGATATCTAATAAATAAAGTCAACACACTAAACGTGAATAATAAAAAGACACAAAAAAACGTTTTGCGAGTTATCTTACAAAGAACACTGAACACTGATATGATGACCAGGGAAAAGACTGAAAAACAAAATATGGCAGCTTTAAAATGTTTTTTTAATTTTGAGTTGAGTCATATGCTTTGTTGTCGAATCATATATGGCATAAGGGGGACGAAAATGATGCTTAATAATAAAGCTAGCAGCAGTGAGTGCTGGTAGACTTCGAGCTCAGCGAGAGCTTAAAAAAACCTTAACAAATCCTTTTGAGTGATCGTCAAAATCTGAACTCTTTCAGATGTTTTTCTTTGTATATTTGTTTTAACTTCTGCATGTTAATTTTATTTATTAAGTATCACGTACGTGTGAAGGAAATTATGCTTAATATTAAAGCTAGCAGTAGTGAGTGCAACAGCAGACTGGTAGGCTGCGAGCTCAGAGCTAAAAAAGCCTTAAGAAATCCCTTTAGGTGATCGTTAAAATCGGAAAGCTTTCAAACTTTTTTTTTTTTTTTTTTTTTTTGCATATTTTTTATTAAGGTTCTGTATGTTAACTTTATTTATTAAGTATCACGTTCTTGATACTTAAGCAACATAAAATTCAATTGTGCAGGAAAGTCCCTAAATATATAAAAACAGCATAGAATTTCCAACAGAGTCTATCGCGAAGAAGATATTTTTTTTTTATTTCAAACAGTGTTGTGAATGCTCTTTTTCAAATCGTTGAGTATTTTAATGAACTATTCATAAAAGTTTACGAAATATGAAATAAATAATGAAACAAATTTTTGGAAATTCAAAATTTGGGCTTCCACAGGTGCACATGTTCGGGTGGAGAACTGCATTATTAAAAATTTGTTGACTCTGGATACCGTCGTTTTTCACAGCGTGAGGAGCATACGTAGATACATGCAAATTCTTAGCCCCTTTTAAGCTAATAAATATTCTGTATAAAGTGCAAATATATGAAATTTGTATCCAGATGGATGAAAAATTATTTATAATAAACACAAGGAAACAGTAATTTAAGTTTCATATCAAAGTCTTAAAACACCATCTCTGATAATATACGGAGATCTTGTATATAAAAATATGCAACCGCCTTCGCCGGGAATCAAACCACGGACCTCTGGAATACCGGCCCAGCGTGCTACCGTTACACCACGAAGGCACGCTAGGGAAGTGGGAGAAATACCTTATATACTTCCCTTTTCTTAAAGGGCGACTAGGGTTTTAGGGAACCTAGTCGCCAAAATCGTGGGTACGAAGAAACATCATCCACAACCCTTTTAGTTCGGGCGCCGCTTGTAGAGTCATTAGGTTAATTGGAACCAGGAAAAATGAAAAATATGCAACCGCCTTCGCCGGGAATCGAACCACGGACCTCTGGAATACCGTCTCAGCGTGCTACCGCTACACCACGAAGGCACGCTAGGGAAGTGGGAGAAATACCTTATAATCTGTCTAACCACAAGATTTGTTTTAAAAAAATAATTAGGTTATGCTAATTTTTTCTGTTCATTTTTTTCCTTTAACTAAAATGCAAATTAGAATTAGTTTAAAAAGCGAGTGCTACTATATCTGAAGAAATTAAATTGACAAGGCTTCAATTTTGATTCTGAAATGAATTCTATAGACCTTTGAAGCCGCTGTTGTGTATTCTCCCCTGTATTTGGTATCCATGAACGGCTTACTAGTTTAATTAAAGCTGTTGCTAAGCAAGAATGAGTTAACATCGTTCGGAAGCTAGTGATTCTTTATAACTTAAACTTGTGTGCTGCCGAAAATTATATTTTATTTCAGACTTTGGCAATAACAGTGGATAACTGTTGTTAATTTTACTGTAACAATAATTTCTTTGCCTTAGAAATAAATATTATTTGTTGAATTTTAATATGCTGGGAATCGAAAGTCGCAATGCGGAGTCGGTGAGGACCAGTGCAAAAATACGTAACTTTAGTATTATGTAATCGAAATTTAAATTTATTTTATGTGGATAAGAAAATTGTAACTTTATTTATATAGAAATGCTTGTCCTAAACATTTATTCGGAATTTCCTTATAGTGCCATCTGCTTAAAAATCCTGATATTTAAGATCTATCCTTAAAAAACTATTCAAAATATTTTAATTACTCGTTATTAACCAAAGGAGCTCCAATATTTGAAGCATAAATATACATACAGGAATTCTTAAACCCGTGAGTCGAGTAAACTAATTTAAAACTTCTAACCAATTACAAATTAGACTGCAAAGCAAAATTCGGGTTTTGATTTAAAAGCTAACAAAAGAGAATGATTAAAAAAAATTTCAAACGAATGTGAGATAATCGTATTTAGTATCTATTCTTCAGTTTTCCTCGAAATTTCTTTAGGTTAGACGTTAATAAAATCCTTTTCGTCTGCTATTTGTAAACTCCGATTTATTTCGTCTTTAGTTAAAAATTTCTACTAATATTTCTCTAAATCTTTATACCACTACCATATTACTCATTATTTTTGCTGGACATAGTCAGCTACTTTTATTGAATATTTCTTAATAGTTGTTATTCAACTAGTTATTAAAGAAGTGTATATTTGACATTTTCAGAGGAAAAGAGCCCGTGAGCAAACTAAGGCAGGAGTCTGAAGAAACGAACTGGCCTGATGAGGAGGAAAAGCTAGTTCGCATAATTCAATACGGCGCACGATTAGGCATTCAAGAAGGGCTTATTGAAGCTGAAGACCATTCTCAATCTTATTTATTATCGGGTGAGTGTCAAATTTTTATTAATTAATTTTTACTTTTTAAATTTTTATTTAATATCCTTCTTACATTCTAAACATTTTTCAATTCTATTAATAACCTGACACTGCCATGAAATTGTATAACTGGAGCGTCTTCGGTGTTACTATGACACTGCAATGACTATTTTGTCATTATAGCCTCTATTCGTTGACGAAGACCTTTCTTTTAAGTTTCGGTAAATGTATTCAAGTATATTCCTTCATTCCTGTGGAGAAATGCTAAACGGCTGTGTATCAGCTTTAAGACGATTTGCTCTGAGCTGAACCGATGTTATAACTCATTGTTTCCTGAGTAGACAGTAAAACCAAGAAAAAAAAATTAAAAACCTAAAAGGTTTCAGATTGTAAATTACGTCCAAAGAAGCTTTTTTTTTTAACATTTTGTATGTTACATTTATTTATTAAATATCACGATCTACGTATTTAAACCTTAAAATTCAGTTCAAGAACATTATCTATAAATAGTTTTAAATTGAACATATCTTTAGAATTTCCAATACATAATCTCGCGCGCTCGAGATAAAAATGTTTTTTTCTGTACAACGTTGCAATTGCTCGCTTTGAAATCCTTGAGTTTGTTAATCAAAAATTCGTTAAAGTTTTACAAAATACGAAATAGATGATAAAACAAATTCCAAATTTCAAATTTGGGCTTCCACATGTCCATATTCGCAGTAGGATGATGTCATTCAAAGTTGGATGGCTCTATGTACCTTTCTTTTGTCACAATGCGAGAAATATACATACACTTTATGCAGATTTTTCATTATTTAATTTTTTTGAAATATGATGCAGGACTCTAACATTTGGTGGCAACAGTTTGAAATGTGAAACGAACATTTACAGTGATTCAACGCAAAATCGCAAAAAGAAAACAATAGTCCTTCAGGGACAAAGCCTCTTTGGACTAAAAACAAGCCCATACCATTACCCATTCTAGCCCATGTTTCAGTGAAAACAATATGCCAAATAATACTCACTTGCATTCACCAGATCTATCGTATCTGTATAGTAATGCCACAATCTGTAATGAGATTCATCTCTGTATATGATTCTTTTTCACTGAGTTTCTTGACGATGTGATTTCCTCTTCTGTAATCAATTTAGTGATAATTATCTTATGAAATCCAAGCGAAAACATTTTGAGATGAACGGTACAGATAGTGGTATCACTTTCAGATGCCATTCGATGCCATGATTTGCCGATTTCAGCAGTCAGGTTATGCTATGGTCTCTAAAAACGGAACTTGCTGGTTAAACTTTGTCATATGTGGGAGGCATTCACGAATCGGGATTGTAATTCTATAACCTCTCACATTTCCATTTTAGCAATGTCAATCATTTTTTCAGTGGTATCTAGAACTTGCCAGAAATCTCAGTAATGGAATCACTGAGTCAGTGGGCACTGATTATCATTCGTCTTCCAGGCTTCCTCAGTTCTCGTCCTGCGTTAATTTTAATAGCTGTAATTACTATATTTTTCCACTTAAATACCATTGTCTTTTAAAATACTGATGACTTGCAACATTGACCAATGGGCGATCGTGTTTTAATTTCGACGAGAACAGTCATTAAAGGCAATATTACGTTCTAAGTAATAGACGTAATAAATGTGCATCTAGTTATCTTAATTCGACATTAAATAATTCAACTGCATTCATTTAAAAAAATGAATGTAATATGAAAGGCAGCTGCGTTGTCTAACTCAGAGAAAATTTGAATTTAATAATGGGAATCCGATTCCATTGTCTTTTGAAAAATAGGAATGAGCATCTGATGGAAAGTAAAATTTAGACTTACCAATTACTGTTGAAAGTGCTAAAATTATCTGTTCGAGTAACAGCAGTCGAGAAAATATCGTTCCATATTACTATATTGGTAAATATATGTCTGGTAAACTAATGGATGCTATGATAAATATATTTACATATTAATAAGGCTGCACCTTACTTATCAGATGGAAGCTGTTTAAATGTTATTAATTGTGATAAGCATGAATCTGCATACTATTATAAATTACTTTTTTAAAAAATATTGCATCATTTAGGACTCATTCTCCTCATGAAAAATGATCTATTCCATAGTTAACAAACACGCCAGTTAGCTTTGGATTACATCTGAATTTTCACACTGGAAGGTTAGCAGGCGAATTAAAAGTTTGCTCTTTTTATATTTTCCCTGTTTTAATTAAAGCTGGACATGCTCTAACCTAGTGCAATATTCTCCTATCCCTCCAATTATTCTATTCTCTTAACAGGAGATGCCGCTGTAAAAACCTGGATTTCAACCCGCACTGAAATTCAGAATTCATATGCTCTCTGTGCCATAGAGTTATTAAGACCAAACCCAGTCTGTCCAAATACGATGTTATTGGACCAGAAGCAACTTCGTAACAGAGTATGTGATGATCAGTCGTTATTCAATTAGCAGTAATTATAATGATCTTTAGCGCGGAAATTTCAATAAGATTCCATTTTTCGTTTCATTGTTTTTCTCAGTTAGCAAAACAAATAACATCCATCATACTGAGAATTAGTTTAAGATATAATTTAATTTTTCGCTTTAGATATTTCAGAAAATTTTTGTCGTATATAAAGTAAAGGAATCTTAATAAATCGCACTGTAATTCACATAACATTCTATCAAAAGATTCTGGGGAAAGAATTACTGGTAATTATGTATTTAAGATTTAAGTATATAATGCTAACTGACGAAATGTATGTAATGGTGCACAGGGTCGTTCTTAGGTGGTATGGGGCCCCTAGGCGAAATAGGGGTGAGGGGTGGCTTCGCCCCCTCCCCCTCCCGGAAGCCAGAAATGGACTGTGAAAATTGATTGAAAGATACTTTTTCCAGAAGAGCAAAGAGCAAAATTCATTATCGTACCTAATGTAAGCAGTACGTCGGAAAACGCCACTAGTCTGGCCATTTCCTGACCTTTCGTGGACGCCGCGGGACGGCATAGATAGGGATTTTATCCGTATATATGTATATTACATGAGCATATCAGAAGAATCTACACTACTGAGTACTGACGACGTGAGTAACTGAGTAATCTAATTGAAATAAGGAGAGGTAACGTGGACGATTAATGCTGAAGCAGCTTATTGTAACGAGGCGTGAAAAATTAAAAAACAAAAAAGAAACGAAAAAAGAAATCTGCAGGCTTTTCAGATTTTATATTACACGCAAAGAAGCTTTTTTTTTTAACGTTTTGTGTGTTACCTTTACTTATTAAATATCATGTTGTTCGAACTTAAACCATAAAATTCATTTCAAGAGCAATATCGCAAAATAATTTTAAATTGAGCATATCTTTAGAATTTCCGATACACCAGTCTCACGCGCTGGAGATAAAATGTTTTTTCTGTGCAACGTTGCCATTGCTCGCTTTGAAATCTTTGAGTTTGTTAATCAAAAATTCGTAAAAGTTTTACAAAATATGAAATCAATAATAAAACAAATTCCGCATTTCAAATTCGGTTTCCCAGATGCCCATATTCGAGTCTGATTACGTCATTCAAAATTTAATGGCTCTAGGTACCGTTGTTTTATCACGATGCGAGAAACATACATACATTTATGCAGATTCTTCATTATTTAATTTCTTCAAATATAATATAGGGCGATAATATTGAATGGCAACAGTTTTAAAACTAAAACAGACATTCAGAGTGATTCGACGCAAAATGGCAAAACGAAAACAGTAGTCCCTCAGAGACTAAGCCCCTTTGGTCTAATAACTGAAAATTGATGTGGGGATAGATTAATAATAAGGTGAATTTTTAGATATTAAAGCAGCCCAAGCAATGCATTCATGTCATGCTTGCGGTCCCGTTATCTTGCACCAGATAGTACCATATTATTATCCCTGCGTCAGATAGATCATTAGTAAACCTGTCTAGACATCTAGACTTTGGTATTGTCGGGATTTATGGCCTTCGAGAAGTGAACTTTTATCTCTGCCATATGCTTTGTCAGCTGGGCACAGGAAGTAAAATGGCGTGAGAAATATATGCTCATATAAATATAGTCCTGGTGGTTATTAACTGCTGTACTGCCATTAATATTCCCTTTATGTTTTCCCAAATAGAATAAAATTTGTGTACTTCTGAAGTGACTTTCTATTTGCAAAGAAATAAAAAGAATAAGCAAAATTTAAAACAATGCTAATTAACTGTATTAAAAAACATTTTGTGAATTTTAATTGAGATAATTTTTTAATTGGAAAATAATATCACTCATTTAATGTTTAATATATTTCATATTTTTACAGGCGTACATAGACATTTAAGGCATGCCATAAAATTGAGCAAAACAGATCCAAGCAAAATATTGTGTGTTGTAAGGCAATTTGAAGGTAAGAAACCGTTTAATTACGCTTATACTTGCATAGCCTCTGACAAATTTTAATATTGAGTAGGTTTTACTATAATCGCATTTTCTTAGATTATGTAGTTGCTTGCGATATAAAACTGGCAACTGAATTAAAATTTTCTAAGGTAGAAAGTTATATGAACCTGTTCCAGCAATTTTTGTATGCGACAGAAGTGAACTAATGACGAAACTTCCAAAAATATAAAGTAGTAATTAAAATTAGGGACCAAAAGTAATTTCGGACTTTCAATGAAGTCGTAAACAGGATGAAATCTGTCCAAAGTCATTAATAATAAATCGTGAAGAATAGCAGGTATTAGTGCTATTTACGATGTAAAACGCTTCAATTCATTTCGAAACTGAAGAAATGGTTTCTTTTGCAAACAGCTAAAATGGTTGTAGGATGTTCCATATTCTTATAAATTGTCAAGGAAATGTTGGCGCTCTCAAAACACGAATTAAAATTTTATTTTAATATAAAAGCCATCTGATTATTACCTTTGTTACATTAGAGGTATCCTGATTATCCGATCTTCGACTATTACGTTTAACCAATATTACATTTTATCCATCTTATTGCAAATATCTAAAGTGAACGTTATCGTTATATAAAAATACCCCTTGTTTCAGTATGTTTCTTTGTTAATGTGACTTTTATTTTGTGCTGGGTATATCATAATGGCCTCCTTTTTTATTTTCATGTAAAAAATTCTTATTGCTCTAGTTATTGGGAGATAAAATTACATTATGATATCGGTACGCAGCAATCTGTGTATTATGTATAATGCTATAATAGATAGTGTTTCTATAATAGATAGTGTTTCTCTTGAGTAAATTTTGTAAAACATATTTTTTACATGGAGGATTTTATTTATTTCAATAGTGGATTTCGTTTAGTTCTGAATTATTAGACTACCGTGCTGTACCGTTTATCACTTATAAACTACGTAGATTCTATTTTATACAATATTCAGTAATGAAACTTAATAGACTCAGTTCACGAAGGTTTTATATTCAGTCATTCAGAGAACAAAAAAGTTGCTTAAAATCGATGAAAATATACAGTATAATATGCAATATTTTTCAGAATATTTCGTTGAAGCATTTTGTTCTTTAAACATATTTTGTTATTGAATTTTCATTGGAGAATTTATACCTAGGAAAGAGTTTCGTTTTTGCAATATTAATTAACAATTAATAGACCTATCCACTTCATATAAAATACTTTTGCTGTTTTATGCCTCTCGTTTATACGGCATTCTCAGTCATAGAATAAATTTCCAGTTCTCGGCGCGAGAAATTGGAAAAAATTGCTTAAATTCTCTTACGCCACATTTCGGAGCACCTTTTCAATTACGTCTCTCAAAAATTTTATCGTTCAGCTTGGTTCAGATAAAAAGGATCTTCTCCATTGTAGCGTCAGTTCTAAGAAACCTTTTTCAACCGTCCTTTACACAATCTCTGGTCATCCCATCTTTATTACAATGTATTCCGGCATACAACACGAACTGTTAATGCAAAAGTTAGATCGAAATTTAAGGGTGCACGTTATACGCCGGATATAAAAATGATAGAATGAAAAATAAGGAAATGATGAGCAGACAAAATTAGATTTCTTTATTTATTTAATTCTGTTTATTTAAAGCAATTATGTACTTTATGAACTTAAAAAGTTGCATTATGAGCGCAATGAACATGATAAATTCGTCACATTCATCTTTCGTTATATCGTCAGGCACATCATCGAATTCTGTTTCATCTTCAGTATCACTATAACTCTAATATATAAATAAATTTTCATCTTCCTTTCCGTCTAGATTGTTAGATACACCACATTCTTTAAATGACTTTGGAATTATGTCGGGTTTAATCTCATTCCATGCTTTTATTATCCACTCACATACTATTTCTAGACTGGCATGACGCGTATGATCTTCTGTTGTAAATGTTTTTTCACCTTCTAACATCTATCTATTGCTCCGTCGTTTTTATTGATACACACATCTACAAACTAAACTAATGGCGTTTATCATCCTGGAGTAACGGCCATGTCTGTATTCCACTGTTTCAAAAATTTCTTCTTATAATCCGTTAGAGAGGATATGAGCATGTCCCAAACTAAAAGACATTCTGGATTCTTTAAAGCTACAGGGCGCTTGTACTAAACATTTCCTATCGACAGTTTCATACCGTTTTTGTTCCTCTGTCCTTTCTCGTGAACATGAATAAAAACACCATTTGGGAAATCACATTTCGGCATCGCCTTTCTTTTAAAAATAACCATGTGTCTTAACCAGGAAAGCACTATGATGTTGTTTTATTCCCTATCATACGAAACATACTGTAATTTCATTCATATTTCCAATATGTGACAATATTTTTTTGCTTTCGTAGATCAATAATATACTTCAGAAAACTTAACAGTTTATTATTCTGATCTTTCGGAAGCCTTTGTGAAACTTTTGTTTTCGCGTAGCAATAAATTATTTCGTGACATAAATCGACTACGGGCAAAACATTCAATAAATAGGTTACAACAACTCAAAGTCGCTGTAGAGTTTTCACTTTCATTTGCATTGTTTTTGTCCCAATTTAAGGCAAATAAACGTGCGCTGTTCCTTATTACAATTAATCCATTCTGCGACTGTTTATGATCCGCAGTTCGCAACACTTTTTTCTACAAGATGATTAAAAAACACGTTAACAAAATTACATGGCAAATTAGGTATATTGCAGGGATAAAAAAATCACATAGGAACACAGGGACGCAAATGTTATCCGGAGCAACTAGAAGGCATTTAACAAAACCATTCCAGATGATTTATTTATATTAGTCAGAGGTATTTTTATTTCGAAATTTATTCCAATAAATAGCGCATTCTTTGCAATAAGAAGGTAGAATAACTTCAAGTCATTTGAGAAAGTTTACTGCAATTCTTCTAATGACTGGCCTAAAAGTTTATTGCATTGCAAACATTAAAATTTTTTCATTAGCTTAGACTGAAAACGTTGAAAGTAAGCGGGGAATAGTTGCATTCTTTTCTTATTTCTCTCTCTCAGTTTTTATCTTTCTCTGTTTGTCCCTACATACGGATACACATAAATTAAAACGTACTTTAATTTTGTTAAAAATATTAACTGTATTAATAATAATTGATGTATTGAATGGAACAAGCCCTTAAATGAAAAATAGAATTCTAAAAAATCACTGCCGTGTTAAAATTTCACATAGGCCTTATTGCAAAATTCCACAAAGCACCAGTACTCCGCCAATTTTTGCAGTTATCTGGAAGCATTCTTAACTGAGGTAAAACTCAAATAGATTTTTACTCAGGTAGATTATTTTCTGAAACAATCGGAATGAATATACAGTCATTTAAGTTTTTAGTCCTAACTTAAAAAACCATTAAAATATTTGACTCATAATTTTGTTAAATTAGTTTTACTGACGTACAGTATATCCATTCACTGAAAAATGAATTCCAATGTTGCTGTTTCTGTTGACCAGAATCACAGTACCACTTTGGGAGGGACGGTTTTGAGTATCCTAATCTTAATTTTCTAGGATGAACTTAGCGTTCTAAGTTAACTGAATCAGTAATAATAATTAATTACAATAAACCATTTCTCAGCGAACACCTTCCTTAGACGAACATGGGACCAGAATTTCTGAGAGCGTAAATATACATCGGTTCTGCTAACTGTAACAGGTCGTCGAATGCGATCCCTTATTAACTCAAGGGAAATCATTTGATATATATTAAAATAGAGATGAATATTGAATTACCCAAATATCTTGATTTTTGTTATAGATCAAAGCATTACATTTCCAGTTCTTAATGATAACAGCGAAATTACTTTCGTGGAAAACAGTAGGAAATTATAAATGCATCGAGATGTAATTTGGCATATTTGTGTTTATTTTGGATTAAAAAAGAGCTGTCTGTAATCGATTCATTCTGTTCCTAAAATGTTTACACTACCTTTTTCCTTGCCTGTCGGAGCCAGCTACTAATGTTTAAGAAATCAATATTAATGTGGCCATCAAGGCATTTATTTTTATTAGATGACATTGCTACAATCAGTCGCCTTTAAAGCTGATTTTAAAGCTGATTGGCCTGTGTTGTTTCTCATTGTCACTTTTGTTGTCTTAATTAGGTTCTTAATTAGGATATTTTAAAACATAAATAAAAGTATTAAATAATGAAACACAATTACAAATTTTCAAATATACTGATGGAGATCTGTTGCAGAGGGGCTTGATAGATATGGTTGGATGGGCATTTTAATAAACAGTGAGTGTTTTCGAAATTAATACACAAAATGTAATACTTTTACAATATTTTAACACCGAAAAGTTTTTACAATGTTTTAGATTTACCTGTAAATTTTGTTTTACGTATTTAAAAACAAAATTTACAGAACTAAACACTAGAAGTGAATATTGTAAAACTGTATATTTTAAAATTTATTTAAAATAAACAATTTTACAATATTCACTTCTAGTGTTTTAAGATTTTAAGTATATGTTATTTCTTCCGAAGATTTCTCTCTTATATTTATTCATTATTCTCCGTAATTAATGCAGCGCTTAGATTTATTGATAAAATGCTATTAAAAAACCGTTGAACCGCACATCTGATTCAATATTTTTTCGTTAGTAAGATTGCAGTAACTTAAAAATACGGTAAATCTATAATTAAATTAGCATTTGCTGTCATCGATAAATATTTTCGCCAAGACGATCATTTCCAAAGAAGAGGCATATCGTCTAGGGTCATAAATAGCCTTAGAGTTTGTTCATGCTGCATTTGCGATGAGACATGAAAACAAAAGAGTTGGCGTAATGAAAGTGATCAAGTTCCTGACTGTATCATTATTGAAAACCATGTCGGAATAAAGATTAAGCTCTTAAATTAATTAAAATATTCCTAAATGAATTTAGTTTGTTCAAATTTCAAATACTACTTTTTGAAAACATGAATAGAACGACAAGTTAATATTATTAATTTTGATTATAAATATTTTAATAATTACTATAACTGTTTTAGAAAATATATTATAAAGAATTCATATCTTAAAGTTTTTTGAATGTGTTTTACAAAACAAAAACAGGAAAAGAAAAATTCTGTAGCATTTTATGATTTTTTGGCAATATTTCTGGTCAGGTAAGGTTTTTATGTAAAAGTTTGTAATTTATATTTATATTAACCAATTGAATAGTATCAGTTTTTCATTTTATATAAATATGTATTGAAATTCAGTAATAAGAGTTTTAAAAAATTTAAAGTGATTTAATGATTATTTAGACAGTTTGCATTTAAACTGCATTTTTCAGTTTGCATTTTTTCGATAAATTCTTTTTACGAAAGTCCTGAAACTTACACAGATATAAACTAAATTACTTCATATTTTTTTTTAATTATATACTGGAAAGAAGATGCATTTTGCAAAATACTGAAAAGAAAAATTTTTGGAAGTGAATATGTAATTGAGATCACACTTTTTCCGAAAATTTTACATAAAAGTGTGCTTTTATTTGTTTTCTAACTCATTAATTAAACTAACTCGTTAATTTAAAAATAGATCTTTAAAAAATTTTAGAGCATTCTAATAAATACAATAAAATATTTTTGGAAAAAACATTGAAAATTATAGGAGAATAAAGAAATTTTAATTATTGAATATTTCTGAAAAAAAAAAATTAAAAAAATGACAGGTATTTTTTTCAACTCAAAATCATTTTGTCTTACAAACCCATTTACTAATATTCAGAAAAAATAGATGTTCTTAAATAAAGGAAATCATTTTAAGTGTACCGAGTTTTTTTAAGATTCCTTGCAGTGGGAGAAATGCTCACAGTTTTTAATTGAATCCGGTTCGTGTTTCGTTATACTGCAGAAAAACTGCTCAATATACATAAGTAAACCACTGAACACCAAAGAAGAGAATTCATAGTGAACTACCAATATCCTGTGCTTTAGCCACTGCACCACTGAAAATGGATATCAAGAATTATAAAAACTTATCCCTTTAAAAGCATATTTAAATTCGCATTTATTACCATCGGTAACAATATTATCTTTTTAACTGTATTTATTATCTTGGTAAAGTTGTCAATAGTACATTAAAGGCAGTTTCTGTTGGTGCACTGACGACAAGCACACCTTCCAGCCGGTAAATATTAACGCATAAAAAACAGAGAATAATCGATATGACGAAGAATAGAGAATAATCGATATGACGATGAATAGAGAATAACCGAAATTAGAGAAAAAAAAAGAAAGAAAACCTAACATTTTTAGTTGTTTTCCTCAAATAAATGCTCTTCAAATATTGGCGAGGAATTACAGAGATAAATTCAAGCGTCATTATAAGCCATCAATTTAAATTTCCTTCAAAGGCAAATGATCATTTTCTCTCTTCAGACTCTTTAAAGCCAGTCAAATTGCCGCGGCCCATGAAGTATTTGCATTTTCTGATACGGATTCCTAGTTATCGGAGCAAATATTGCTCTTGAGATTAAATTCGAATTTCCAAAAAGCAAATCTTTCAAGAAAGCGATTTCTGATTATTTATTCATGGTTCTACTGAACAGCAATTTACCTCCAGCTATTAAGAGATTATTTTGTTCCTATCGAGTTTGAGATAGATTTTCATTGTCGGCGAACGTTTTCAGACGTTTCTTTAAATGTAAATGTGCGTAGCTGCATATATTGAATAAAATGATTTATATTCACGTTTGTGACTACAGTATTGAAAGGAAATTCTGAAATGAATAAAAATGTTTTCACATTCCTTCAACTACAGTTCTCTACACATTAAACCGCTTTGGGGAAATTCTTTTAGAAAGTAATATAATTTCTGCTGGACTAACATTTCACACCAGATGTGATTACTGATTTTTATTAGAATTTTTCCGCTGTATCTACATTACTGTAATATTTAAAATAGCTTGCTGTAGTTGTGAACAATGTATTTAGTCTGAAAAAGTGAGATATCTGAAAATTCTCGTGAGTTGTTAATTTATTTGATAGTGCCTCAAACTGAAACATGAGCCCTTTTTGAGTTAATAAGTTATACAATGCTTACACCTGCAAATTTTAAACTGCGTCAAGTGTAAATCTCACAAAAGTTAAATTCACAGAATATCGAATCTAGTGTTTGAGAGACAAATAACTTTGTCAGGTAATATTTCAGTATTTACGGATTAAAAAACAATACAAAAAAATCCTTTGTGTTTATAATTTCGATAGCGAACAAACTTCCATAATTTAAATTGTAATTTCAGCTGATTACCAGAGCATTAACTTTCTCTTTGTCGGCATCATGTACGCTGCCTATGAGCAATTTAAATATAAATTGCAAAGGTAGTGAGAACCATCTATTGAGCTGAATCAAATTTCAACTACCAAATCTCATTTCATGTTAAGAAGTAAACGGACAATCTTTTATTGCCAAGATCAAGTACTCTGCATGATGAATAATAAATATTTTATCTTCTATATGAGATACAAAAATACTAGTGTGCGCCACGTGTTGAACTAGATCCAATTGAGAGAGATGAAGGAAAAGAGAAAAGAAGAAAGAACATCAGAAATAAAGCTATTTAAAGTTTTGGAAAATAAATATTAAAATATGAACACAAATTAGAAATAAATGTCAAACCTTTATCGAAATCCATTTCTTCGAATGAAGGCATCTTTTATTAACTTGAAGTGTAGAAAAATTTGACGTAATTTTTAAATAACTAACAGTTTAACGACAGAAGAGTTTTTGATTTCTCCGTTTTTAGAGTCGAATTCATTTTTAATTAAGTTATTGCGATCGCTTACTCTTTAAATGTCTGTCTTTAATAGTCTGAGATTCATGAATTAAATCAAACTGACAAGGATTACGTTGTCAAAGGCTGGCAAGGGCAAGTCTTAAACCCTTCAGCGCTTACAAGGTTGCAATCCCGTGTTGTGACTTACCTCACTTGTCTGATAGTAACATCAGAGCAAGCCCACGAAATTCATTATGACAAGGTGAGAAAGACTGCACCTGTCGTTGGCAAGAGCCTTGACCACCATACAGGTGACAATACGGCGATTTCGATGGATATTTCCCAATTTCGATGGAGAGCAACTCGGACGTGTCGTTTGCGCCCACTGCGATGCGTAACTGGAATGCGAGCTCAGTTCGTTGATGACCATCAAAACGTTAATGAACTTACCAGTAACTCAATTGTGGTGCAAGAAGCTCAAGAGAGAAGTTCATCCTCGCTAAGCAAATGACTGACATTTATTATGGACAACATAAAATTTTATAAACGTTTTGTCAATAATAAAGAGAGTTGTAACAAGTTGTTCGAGCTCTTAAGAGCACCCTCATATGTTGAAAAAGCCAGTGATTAAGCCTGTAAACTTCCAGTTTCCTAAAAGTCTTCAGATGATGCATTTTGGAAATTTCCTCCAAGGCTTGAATTTGATAACAAAAGGTTGATTAGAGATAGCGGTCTCATGATACTTGTTTTCCAAACATTATGATATATATGCAAAACTTCTCTCGTATTCCCTTCTTTTATCTTTTGATTTTCTCAACTGGATCTAGTAACTTTCTGAGATACTTTTAAATTGACTAAATTATTATAAATGAGTAGAATGTTTACTGCCATAAATATGCGTAGACCACACCAATTATGAGATGGTCGTGATAGACAGTTTCAGTTATCAATTGTTTTTTCAGTCGCTTCTTTACTTATTTTTTTCTTTTTGCACGTCTTCATATTATGATGGTTCTTTTACTGTCAACCTGAAATTGTATGTTTCAAACGACACAAAACCTCATGTATGAACTGCTGTACAACCTCTGGCAGAAGAAACTCCCTTTCTTTAGTTGTAGTAATTATGGGCGTGGTGGATTGAGTTTCGAATATGTAATTTAAACAACTGTATGACATGCTTCGTTATTCCATGTTGGGGCAATGGACAAGCGGACTCCTTGCAAAAAGAAGTGCCAGCTTACTACAAAATCCTAATACAGCCATTTCTTATTAGAAGATTAAACTGTTTTTTTTAATTGTTTACGTCTGATATCTTACCAGGTCTTCAGACTCGTATAGCCTTAAAAAGTTGGAGAATGATAAATCCTTATCTTATTCCTGATAGTCTAAGACGCATTGCAGTTTCTGTCTGTCTACAGAACATGTTTGCCTTGCCGCCAACCTGCACCGCATAGGCATTTCAAGCGATCTTATTTGCTCACTTTGTGATTCTGGAAAAGAAATGGACAGGGACCACCTGCTTCGATGTGGGGCTCTTCGAGGTCTTGCAGAAGAGTCGAGATACTGGAAGGCAAGAACGCTTCTTAGGAAATGGCAGTATCTTTTTGTTCATAGTTCTATTTTTAACCTCTGTTCATAAGATCAACAGATCTTTAACTGTTTATAAGATCAACAGTTCTTTTTAATTTTTGCCTAGCCATTGGAAATTTAAAAAAACATTTCTACAATTTGTTCGATCTGCCAGTATTCGTGTATATTAATTTAATTTACTATGATGTCAAGAATTATGTTTCTGCTTGTAATTTTCTCTGACGTGCATTATTAAAAATTTTTGTTAATATTTAAAATATATGAAAGCTTACTTTGTTTTTAGGCATAAATCTCTCTGACCAAGCAGCTAGCATATATTTCGATAGTCCGGCACCGGACGGTGTGACAACAGATGATGATAGTACAGCTGGGATACAGGGTCTCATCGAAGATATCATCTTACATGTGGACAGGAAAAACGTTGCTTATTTTAGGTAAATATACTATTTTATAAATTTGCTGTTTTTTTGCAATTTGAAAGCATTTCTGATAAATTATTTGTCGCATATAATGTATATATATGTAATGGTATAATTTGGGAACAGCTGTAATGGACTACTGTGTAGTTTGGATGGTGCATAAATGGAGAAGAAAAATTAGCAGACGTGGCGGAAAATATGCCATATAATTTATCTCAGAAGGATTCATTCTTACGGTAAATAACCTTCTCACATCCTTATGGGTGCGATATGCACCTCCACAATTTTAGCTTATTAGATCTTTATGCGCGAAAGGTCAATAGGTCTTAAGGAAAGAAGTGTCCACTTTGGCTACTGGTTCTGACAAGATGCGCTTGCGCAGATAGGCTATTTTGAGTAGGCTGGCGAAAAAAATTGAAATTTAGTCCTCGAGGGGGGGGTGCGAGATTTTGTATTTTCTAGTAGCTTGTGTAATCGTGCGTAGGAATTTCGTGCGTAGAAATTTCATGTGTTCTCTTCCGTTTGCTGTCTTCGGTGTAGTTGCTTGTCCCTCGACTGTTAAGAGGGAATAGCTGCAATCGGGCTCCCCGACCGAGCTTTCAATTGGAAGTTTGGGGAACTGGACTTGTTTAGCACTTCGGAAACAATAGTACTTGAATTGTGATAAGAAAGATTCTTAAAAATTATGATGTCGGAACATTTTCCGTGATCTTGGAGAAACTTGCAAGTGCGACTTCACTTTTTGCTCAGCTGCCTTGGGAGTAGGTGGGCTTTCCTACGATGATACCAGATGGAGGTCTTGTGTTCTGAGTCTTTGGGAGAACTAGGTTTTTATCTCGATCGTAGTTGGTTAATACCTTCAGTTGGATTCGTGTTTTTTGGCCTTTCATCGGTAGTACTGAGAGACTTTTGGTTACGCTTGTAATGTTGCGCGTAAATCACTATTTAACTAGATATTTACTATCAAATCAAAATTACATGTGCCCAATATTTGCGGGCCTTTAAAAAGATATCTTGTACATTGCGTTATAACCCTAATATAGAGAATAATAAAATGCCTCACTTACCCAAAAATACAGCATGAGGCTTCAGAGACAATTTTCTTTCTCAATCTCACTTTATTGAATTACTTAAGCATTATCTGGATTAAACACATCATATTAATATCATAGCACACAAAAATATAAAAACTGCCCAGTCTTGTGAAAATAGAAAGCAAATCTAAATCTAAAGACATTGTTCACTTTCCTTCTCGAAAATATTTCGGCGTCTCGTGCATATATTCCGGAAGTTGCTTTATACATGACTCGTAGATTATTTAAATAAATCATCTCCTATTTCAGCATGATGGTATTTGTACTACTCGCAAGTTCCCTCAATAGACACGGCTTGAGCGTATGTACCACGAGGTAACCACCCGATGATAACAGAAGTAATTTGTTTGGGCAAAACATATAGTAACAGAGTTACTTCATGATAGATTAAGTTTCAGCATTATTACTTATGGATATCTCCAGCAATTTTAGCCTGCTTCTATCCTTTTTACCATCAATGCCAAGCTCTGCATTCCAAGTGTGCGAGCGATGAAAGGACCGCAGTCCCGCATACTCTCTCAAGCCATAGTCAGCAAAGACAGAGAAAAACCTGTCTGGCGGGTATTTATATGCACGTGTAGTTTTGCGATTCCGATTTATGTTATGATAGTGTCCATGACGATGAACTGCGTGGTGTGAGAAACTTCCATTCTCACAACGCTTTTGAAGAAACGTCGAGTCAGAGGACTTCGTCCTTGATATGGCGTACTTCGTTCGTGAGCTACGTATTTTAGATTTTCCGCTGTGAACAGCAAAGTGATGACTCTATTCTGGGCACTTGGACTTATGCCTTTCATGTTAATGGGAGAAGTAAGATTTGCAACAAGCACATGAGAAATTTTTCTTTTCATGACTGAGACGCCCGCATACCTCTGTCGACTGCTGCTTAACGTAACGACTCATTACTTCCTGAAGAATGATCTCTTCCGCCACGAGGAAGCAAGACTTCGTTCCGAGTAGTGTTAAAAGGGTAATCCCAATGCAATGTGAGCGTGAACGAGATACAATCTTCGAGAACCGCTTCAGTGGAGTTTCAGTCTTCCATTAAGAAAAAATAAGTTAGTTTGAACGTGGACAGTAGCCGCCTTTGTCACCATTTTTTAGTTGTGATGAATGTTCACCCGTTTTGGACTGCGCGATTGGACAAGTAATTTTCTTTTCCTTTTCCGTTACTCATGCTTAGAATTTTAAAGTGTTTTCTTGGTTTATCATAATTGTGCAAAAATCTGAGAAATGTTTTGTTTAATAATCTAAGAAAATAGAAATAGGGCTATTATCAGCAGGAATTGCTCTTCGCCAATTTTTCTTGGTTTTAAATGTATAAAATAATTAAGTATTTTACCTTGACTGAAAATCCACTATATGTAATAAATCATATCTTACTCGGAATTTTCAATTATATTTAAGAGAAAATGCTTTAATAAGGCTTACTGCTAACCATGAGGAAATAACCATAGAAATTTTTGGGTACCCCTGTCTTTGTTATAATAATAGTAGTTGTGTTCCATATGTGTAAATTTTTGTTCATTGTTTTGGCTTAGCACTAATGAACTTATAAGTTTCAAGGCAAATTGTAATTAAAGTAATTAATTTGAAAGGAAATTAAATTCCCACAATAATGATAAGGTGGAATTTATTGATAACTCCAGTTGTTCTATAAAAATAATGTATTTCTCCTTAGGTTCTAGCATGAAATAAATTGATATGTAATAGTAAAAATGATTTATGTGCTATTACTTTTAATTCATCAAGATCATTCACATGCACGGTCTCAGAAATACCAAAACACAGCGCAAAAAAAATTATTACTCATAATTACGATCACAGAAATGTTAACTTTGTTCGAACTTGAATTTAAGGTTAAATTAGAAACTAGAAATTTTTTTTTTTTTTTTTTTTTTTTTTTTTTTTTTTTTTTTTTTTTGGGGGTTAGATAATTTCTTGACCCGTGAGTTTATGTTAAAAAGTCAGTTCAGTACCGTGGCGGTACTATACTTCGGTACCGTACGCCGTACTGAACACATCGACCGGTCCCAAGATCTCCTCATATTTAAAAGTCAGCAGGACCTAGGTGGCGGGCTACTTGCCAATCTGGTCAGCCAGTTTTTATCATGCCGATGATTCTTCCCTTGTCCAAATCTGACAGCTCATCATACTGTCTTCGATAACATTAATGGTGTCCGGGGTGAAAACGCGTAGTCTGTCACAAATTAAATGCAATTAGAATGCCTCTGCTTACCTTTATTATATGGCCTCAGTAACATATTGAGCTTTTTCATGCCCACTGCAAAAGGAAGAACGATGTTCAGTGCTCTCTGGTGACTTTGCAGAATGTGTTGTCATGCTGTATTTCTAATCATTTACATATCTCTGCTTGACACTGTAACAACTTCAGTTATTTTCTAACTCCCAGCCCATATTTCTTGGAAAAGCTGAATGTGACCTTAATCACCATATCTATTTCTGGTACCGTTCTCGGTTCTCTGGTTCGTTTCGTGGTGGTCCGAAAGAGACTTTTGTTTCATGGAGAAACACGGAAGAATTAAATCCCTTGCTTAAAGTTCTTACGCATTTTCTTCTATGTGTCTGCCCGTCGCTGACTACCCCTGTAGACTAGACAGCTAACTTCCGGATCACGCTCCACGTCGGAGCTTTGGAATTGTCAAGGACATTTTCCCAGGCTTTGCAACATTATACCCGCAAACAATCCGAGTGCACTCGCCAGTCGAGTGACGGTCTGAAACGTTCGAGCAAAAGGGAATCTAGGAAGCTTTCTCGATACGTTCAGACGATCTTGAACAAAACAAGGTTCACAGCACCAAAGTGAGTTAATGAATCTCTGTGTGAAAAAAAGAGAGATTTCTTCTTTTCAGCTAAGAGCATTTCCTTTTCGCTTTGTCAAGAACAACTTCCTACATATCTCTAAAGAGAACGGTTAGTAGGTTGTCCGGCACCGAAAGGCCTAAGGAGTTCTGAAGACTGCTTCTCTTACTCACGAACGTACACCTGCACTAGGAATCATTAGCATCCGACTAACGGACAGGAACATTTGCCAAGACGTTTTTTCAACGTGAAAAACAAACTCACTATCTTATACATTATTTGCGTATAGCCCAGAATTTTAAATAAATTGAATACGCTACCGACTACTTGGCTTTGTATCAGCTCGTTACAACACGTACTTTTATGCAAAATTTTATTGCCGTCCGACAATTACTTCTTGGTACATAAATTTTATGGCTATGGCTGTATATAGTTAAGAAATACACTTTCTTGCCTTTTTTTTTAAAATTACTCTGTTTACAAACTTTTTCCTCGTTGTGCACCCTTAACTTTGGTTTCATGTGACATAATGTTTTTACGTTTATATAACGTTTATATATGTACCTTGGTAAATAAAGGGCTTATGTCAAGTTTCCAAGTTTTAAGGAAATTTTATTTTAACATGTAAAATTCAAAGAAAAAGGAATTGGTTCTTTACATCGGTACCCCTTCAGGTATACACTTTAAAACACTTCAGGTGTAACTTTAACACACTCCAGGTGTAACTTTACACCTGAAGGGGTTCCTTAGTTTTTTAATATTCATCCATTAAAATGTTATTTCACATTCATTAAATTATTCTTTAATACACATTCATTAAAATAATGTTATAATGATATTTCTCATTTCAAGGTATACATCATATTAGTCTCTTGAAAATGGGTCTAACATAGAATGGAAGGACTTTGGGAGATCTCCTAACGCTTAAAATTTCATGTTGTTGGTGTAAATGCTCGTTTTGAACAATTTAAGCATACCTCCTTTCTTGCAAAGCTAGAGAAAAATGTGTGTACATTTGACAATTTTTTGTATTTTAAATTTATTTGATAAACAATATTTATACGTTATTATAATTTTGTGTTTTATTACGCGTATATTTTGAAATAAAGATTGCGTGTAATTTTGCCGTAATATAAAATTCCAAGGATAATAAACAACAACAATTTATGTTAAGGCTCCGATATCCTAATTACCATTACTCTTGAACATTTGCAACAGCGATCACAAAGTTTGCGATTTTTATCCCCTTCCTCCCTCCCGACATATGAGCAAGCGCCGAACAAGGCGGAGAATCCAATTCCTCCCTCCTTATTCTCGAAATTGGCCGTTAATTAAAGCGAAGAGCGAAAAGCTTCGCATTTATACCACGGGTAATGACAATTTAGCATGTCTGATGCGGGCTCGAGTAGACGTTATTAATCTCGGAACTTCTTTCTTCCGCTGATGCCATTCAGAAATCGTTTCGCTCTTCCACCACGCATGGGAGAAAAGGTGAAAAAAAAGGTTCTCTTCATTAACCGACGTCAGAGAAAAGAAGACGGAGTTTAAAGGATGACATTGCAGCACGGGTGCGTCTTTCTCCCGCGAAGAAAAATGAGTCGATTTATTTGGAGTGCTTTTAAAGTCGAGGCTATAGCCGTCGCAGGAGATTGACTCTGGGAAGATGGTATAGGAATTCTAAACTCTGAGCATTTTTCTTGAGCGAAGTTCTGTCATTCCTTTTGTGCTCAGGAGAGTACAGGTTAGCTATTTGCTTCAGATTTTCCTGTGGGTAGTAGAAACAAAGGACTTTTCTATTTATAGGCACTTATCTGAAGGAAGCGCAGCAGACTCAAGGGAACTTACATATCTCTTTCTTTTTAAGCAATAGACACTTCCAAATTACAGTTTTGTTTTCATTTTAATCTCAAGGATTACGTTTATTCAACTGAAATGAAATTTTCTCAGTAATATTTGTCATTTAACGAACTGGGATCTTTACAAAGAAACGGAAGTCGCTTCTTGACATGAAAAGAATAATTGGGTATCTGATCACTGAAAAAATAATGTCATCACAAGTACATTTATTATTTACGTAATAAATGTACTTGTAATGTTACTTGTGTACTTGTGTAATACACTTGCAATGTACTTGTGTAATAAAAGATGTAATACTTACAATGTACTTGTGTAATACAATATATAAAGTACATTTATTATTTACGATATCTTAGCAATGTTTAAAGTGGAGAAATATTCTTTATGTTTTGGGTCATTTATCTGCCCAGGACAGTTACAGGGAGAATTATATTAATTTTCTGGAATTTCTTTTCTTCTCTGAAGATGAAAGGAATTTTGGAGCTCGGAAACTTTTAAAAACTGCCCCTTCCTCAGCCTGGAATTGAACTTGAGACTTTCACTAAGCAACATAAAAATTGCTTTAAGCAATGGTTTTGTACTCCTCTCTAAATAAATTCAGTTTAAGGAAAACCAGACATCCGCTAGTTAGTCATACGAAACTATTAAAAAAGTATCTTTTTTTTTTTTTTTTTTTTTTTTTTTTTTTTAATTTTAGTCTTCGGTTATGAAAAAAGAGATTCTAGAAACATTGGCGATGCTTAGAATCAAATTTGAGACTTTTACACTGCAAGATCACTTGAAGGAAATGCCTTTAACTCCGAGTTAAAAGGAAAATATAATGTGAAATTTATGTTTCATATCTTATTCAAAGTATTCATTTGTACTCTATTAGAAACAGAGCAACATTTTAGAGTATTTACGGCTAGCGGTAAATTAATAAGCTCGTATTCTTTTGAAACGACGTTTTTCTTCGTCAGATTTTCTTCATCAACAAGCAATTAATTCAGATTATTGAAATGGGTGAAGATGGATATAGATTGAATTGCTAAAAGCATTTAACTATACAGCAGTGTCAGTCTGTATACCAAGCAATGTAAAACAATTATATTCTGTGCAACTGCACAGAATGCTTTTAACACAGGGCAAGTTCATCTTCAGTTACAAGAACTGATTACATACAAAGCAATCTAAACCAACTGCATAGAATTAAAATCGTTTATAATTCTTTTGATGCAAACTGAATGAATTTTTAATTATAACCATCTGCTTATTCAGTATCAAATTCTGTTTCTGTTAACCAGTAAACTGACCACTTTCAATACGGACATCTTGAGAGAGAGTCGATCAAGAGATTTTTTCATAAATTTCGTTTAATACATACACTGGCCAATGAATTAGAAACCTTAAATTTTTATTTGAATGCGTGCTAGGGATGATTTATGCAAATATTTTTATGAGGTGGATTACAGTTGGTTACAATTCTAGTATAAGTAAGGTGTAAGAGTTCTTTTTACGATGAATGAAGTAAAATGGGGAAAACAACACATCTTTCACCATTTGAAAAAGCGCTCATTATTGTTGCCTGTTTAGCAGGGGCCTCGATTTCGAAGACAGGAAATCTCATGTATGTAGACTGAAGCATGTAGACTCGATGCCCAAACGAATCAGATGAGTTATCCGTGCAAAATGTGGTTCAATAAAATCATGATTTGGGATTTCTTATTCATTTGTATCTAGTGTACACTATGTACTTTTGTAAAATAAAAATATAAAATGATTTATATAATGATGTATAAGGTTTAATTGTTGAAAATATCCATTAATACTCTTAAGTAGTTTTGTAAGTATGCGATGATTTGCTTTACAATTTTTTTGTCTCTGAACAAATGACACTCGCTCTCTTACACTGGCTCATGGATATTTGTATCTACCAAAAAAGCAATATTTGAGGGTTTGAATTACTTAATCAATATAAGCCTATAAAAAGATAAAATGAATAACGGAAATCCAATAATAAAATAAAATATTTTAATATATTAATATGGTATACAAAAATTAAATTTTTTCACATGGATTTTTATATTAAATCCATTTTTTGAGCTTAATAGTTTTACTGAGGATAAAATGTTATTACAGTAAAGGAAAATTATGCTGTTTTAGTTAAGAAAATATAGTCTGTATTAAAATGAATTCAAATGTGGGAAAATCTATTATGAATTCTAATGCCGTGTATGAATTTCATAGAATTTGTTGCAGTTTTAATGAGCCACAGTAACAGATGCTTTCATGTTAGCTTAAACATTTTCCGTAAATGGAAATGATTGTCCTAATATAATGAGGAACCAAGAATCATTAAATTTCGTGAAGGTATTCTCGTTAAACACCTTTAACTGATACAGCAACACACGTTTTAATGGGTATTTGATTATAAGGCTCTGTTATGTGCTATATTTAACATTTCTTTCATTCGCAATTTAATATATGAATAAAAGACTGAAATAGAAAATAAAAAAATTATATTAAATATTTCCGGTACAATGTAACTATTTTGCTTTAAACTAATAACAGTAATAAAAATATAAATCTTTATTGAATTAAATTTATATGTAAAATGGTTTAAATATCAGTACATGAACTTTAAATGGCAAGATTGAAAATTTTACTTCAAAATGTGATCTAGGAATCCTGCTTAGGTAATGTTTTATTTATCAGTACATATGTTCAAAATTTGGTTTCTACCTTATAGCATCCCTTGGAGCAAGTCTGGATTGGATTCAGAAATTCCAGAACATGCAGCTTATTTGAAGACATTTTCTGAAGTCATCACTTCAAAGCTCAAAAGCCTTATCGATTCTGCCACGAAAAGCTGGGCTCCTAAATGGGAACTTTTTCCTTCAGTATACAGGAAATCTATTCAGGTATATTAACATTTTCCGAAATTCTTTAATAATAACCACGCAGTGAAATGTTAAGGTTGCAGAATTATATAGTATATTTTCGCATAATGAAAATCGTATTATAGTTGAATATTGCAACTCTATTGTAAGTTTTTGCAAAACTGAGTATTTTGGCTCTCTAGTTTAAAAAATAATATAAATGTATCTTAAAGCATGGCCTAAAACAACTTTTCTTTTTTTAATATAATATGATCCAAAGTTTTCAGTTTTCATATAAATTTTCGGAGCTTACATAAAGTCCTTGTACCACTTTACAGAAAATCCCTATACCATTATAAGTAATCATTTCCCAGAAACTATGCGACCTACAATAACATGGGTTTTGGAAGATATTCTACATCGCTCCAAATTTTATTTGTATTTACTGTGCTTCGTCGTATGCTCCTTTTGTTGCCCTCTAGATGATATTACAGGTCTATCCATACGTGTTGTAACTTAGCAACATTCATTAGCTTCACCTATGTAAAGAATTGGAAAATCTGGAAATATGGTTTAGTAGACATAACTGTTATATACCTTTGATACCCCAAAGGAAAACACCAAGAATGGGTATATCAAGTGAGCAGTGAAACCAGCAGATTGTCGGTCGTGGTCTCCACATCTCCCTGATCAATCACTATTCCAGATCTCTCTACTTTTTGCAGACGGATATGAGAAGCTCCTATGTTGCTATGCTACAGCATGTATGAGCAGAACTAGAATATCATGTTGACATCCTGAGGGCAACGATCGCTCCAAATGTCAAGGTGAAGTAAATGTAAGTAATGTTTGGAGAGATGGAGAAGTTTTTCTAAAAAACTGCATTATTCTAGATTATATAATTTCTGGGCAGTAGTTAACGATATTGGTAGCGGGACTTTGCATCCTTGATTAACGAAGTTTAATATGCAGGACAATCTTTAATTACAAAAAATAAGGATGTTAATAGAAATCGCAAAGTAATCTGTAGCAGTATAATTTGCTGAATGTCTGATAAATTTCAGTACACTCTATTTTTTAATGTTATTCACATAATTCTTAAAATGCATTGTGTAATAATTATATCTGATAACTGTAAACAATCTCACTCTCTAAGTCCACTAGGTCAAGACTTGTTAAGACTAAGCGAATTATCGCTATACCTAGATAAACACAGGTAAGACGGGTTTATTAAGAACTCAGATACAGCTGAATAGAAGACTCTTCTTTGCTTACAAAGCAGTCAGCATTTATGGGATAACTTATAAGTAAGGAATTTCAAATTAAAACTAAGCTAAATCTTAAGCTCGGCCAAAAGGCTACACAGAAATGATTAGCGCGTAAGTTGGCTCAAACTTATAACGGCGTGACAAGCGCTATTAGCAAGAATAAAACAACGTCGAAGACAGACTGCCAACGTAAAATTTCAATTAGTAACGTCGTCTTCAGCAGGAGGAACATACTCTGTCTATGTAATCAATCTAAAATCTCCCTTTAAATATTGTCTATTTCTACTTCATTTAAATACGCGCGACCTAAAATTTACATTCTGGCAGTAAAATGGAAAAGGAGAAATGACAGTATAACTGTGTAACATAAAATAACTGGTTCATTAAAATAAAAAAGAACTTAAACTGAGATGGCTTTTTTAACCAAAATTCTAACACAAATCTCTTTAAATGCCCCAAATAATAATATCAGTGTTCAAAAGGAAAGCATATAGCAATGAATAAAAACTATTTTTTCTAATATTGCAGAGAAACTGTAATAGTAAAACTGCATTTCGTTATCAAAACTGCAATTGAAGACACTGGATTTGTGAGATTTTATTATTTAGGCTAACACAGTAATGACCATGCAACTCTCAGTAGCCATTGAAGCAGCCAGTGTTGTATAGCCGAAAAATCAGTTCCGACTTTAAGCGACATTCAATTGAACTTGAACATGAGATGCTGAGTTTCAAAATGAGAACGGGTAAATAAATTCTATCAGATGAATTTTTGAATAAAACGGCTTATTTAAAGAACTATCATTGCTTTGTTGATTCCTTCGGCAAATACTAAAACGACTAGTATATGCTTCAAAGAATATTAGCACTCTAAGTTAGCAATTTCCCGTAAGCATTAGACATATGCGCGTATTGTTGCGTGCGTACGGGTTCGTAATAGATTAAATGCACACACAAAGGAGGATAGCCTGATAAAATTTATTTTACCAAAAGAAACACTTCACAGTTCTGGAACTTTCCACAAAAGTACTCGTACAGATCTTCACAATATCACAGAGTATAATCAGTAGTTACATTTCGAACTACTAAGAACATTAAACACAAGGCAGTGCAAAGCGCAACTAAAAGGCGAAGCTCTCACGGGAATTTTAGTACTCCGAATTCAGCTCTGAACTAACAACTACTTCTCCGAAACAGTTCCAACATCCTCTTTAAGAAGTGAATAGTGCACAGTTAAAATAATGCTTTCTCATGTCTTATATAGTTATTCCGTGACCGTAAGGAAATTTTTAGTTCTTGTCAGAATTAATGGAAGGCGTATGAGGGCCGGCTAATGTTAAGCTATATATAGCATCAATTACAGTTATTCAGTTGCAATACCCATTACAGTTATACAGGGCCGGACCAAAATGTCGCAAGATGGTCGCCAAGTTTGGAGATTTCCCGCCAAGTTTGGCGAAATAAATTAGTTGCCAAAACCATCGCCAGCTAGACGATATCTCACCAATTTAACGGGATAGCCATTTACTCAATGTTAAATAGACTTGCCCCTGTGTTCTTACTTTTCCGGGAAGATTCTCTTCTTCAGATTTTCATGTTACATTATAAATATACATAAAAAACTACAATTTCACTAAAATTATTTATATATGTACAAAATTCATATTAGTATTTTAGACTTTTATACAGTTATTTTGCTAGCAAAGAACAGAACTAACAAACTGACAGGGTGAGCAACAATTTTCAAATTTTAGATCTCCATACTAGAATACATTTCTTTGAGCCTTTTTTAATGTCAGTAAAAGCGGGACATTTATGTCCCAATCCCCTGGGAAAAGTTAAATTGAAATCGCTTCATTCCCACTCTAACACTCTAAGGGCAATAAATTAATTCATTCTGGATTCATTTCTTTGGATAAACACATATAAACTATAGAAGACATGGATTATCAGTTTCTCAGACAATTTTAACAATATATTTATGACTTCGAAATTGAACTGTACTTCATATATTTGTTACTCCATTCTCAGTTGATATTTGGAAATGGAATCCATACAGCTATAATCAGGTATGCATTATAATGTAAACTTAATATAAATGAACTTCTAAATTTGTACTTACCTAAAGAAGAGTTTTAGCGCTTCACAAGCATTCCATTCTGTGCCTCCTTTTGAAAGCACGTATCTTTGCGAGCATCTGGTTTACATTATGAAACGTACAGAATTTGAAATAAGAAATAAATATTCAGGTGAGCATCTTGAATATACTCTTCGCAATCCCTTCAACGTCTATCAAGCTGAATATATGGAGGGTATTTCATATAATATGAAGCTTTAGAAGATGAAGAACACACTGAGATAACCATTTTTATCACAGAGTGCGTGGTTGAAAACGAAACGTAAAGGCATCGAAGAGCGCTTGATGGGGAAATCCAAGCGAATGAGGGCAAATACGAGAATAATACAAAAGATGAAAAACAACTTTAATCCTGAATTTAAATTAATTTTTCGCGAAAACCAAAGGCAATAGAAGAACATAAATATTTTCAGAACTTATTTGATCGAAGTTATTTGATTTCAGAACTTATTTGTATACAGCTGCGGCGCAAACAAATATTCTCACAATGCATTTCCTTCAGAGATCAAGAAGCTCTTGAGGTTATCCTACACAAAGATATCCAAACAGATGGATTAGGCGATAAAGCGAGCCTAGAAATGATACCAAGTTTCTCAATCCGGTGAACAGGTACATCCAAGTATCGGTGCAAGATATACGCCGCAGAATAGATGATGATACATCCTACAGCAGTTCAGTTATGAACTTAGGCAAAAAATTATGCTTTCTCCCGTTGAGTCGAGAGATGCAAATCGGCTGTTTCATCAATCATATACTGATCCAAGGCTGAAGCAACAGTCCGTTTATGCTTGCAGAACATTCATTTGTTCGAAAGTAAGCACATTCTAGCGCTTTTGCGTTTCGTTTTCATCCTACTCTCTATGACCAATCTCCCCATTCCCCCACTCCAAAAAAAAAAAAAAAAAAAGAAACCTTTACTTTGATGTGTTTCTCCAACTTCCGAAAGTTCGTCCTACATTTTATGAGACATTCTGTATCGGCACTGGTATTTAAAAAACTTGGCATCCACATTAAAAATGCTACGTTCCTTGTTTACCTCATAAATGTACCGGGGATTAAAAAGTGTATAAAATTATATCGGACGCAAGATTCATATTATGATTATTAATAAATTTAAAGTCTGCATAATTTTGTTGAGAACTGCGAAATACTTGATAAGATTCTATAAAGACATATAGCTTAGAAGTTTCGGAATATTATATTGAACTAAAATTATACACGGACATTATGTAGTGGAATATCATAAGCCTTTTCTTTAGAACAATTTTCTAATTAAGTACTATTATTTTATTCAAAAGATAACATTCAGATAACAAACACAATCACCCGCGTCTCAACAAACAAGTTTTATCATCATACTGACAAGTACTCGCCTTGTTCTGTCTATTCGCAAATTTTCTAGAAATAATGAGAATTAACCCAACGCCTTTCACCGAAACTTCACAGCCTGTTTGCACACTTTTAGACGACTTTGGTTTACTGTAAAACAAATCGTCTGCTTGGAAAAAAATTTTTAATTGCAATTATAATTTCCAAAGTGTAAATAATCATACTTGGCAATTTTGTTTTCATGCAAAAGGGCGCTTTTAAAGAAGCTATAGACGGAAGACTATGTTTGAGCTCTTTTCGAACAAAATC